CTAGGATCGAAGCACAACTGGGGACACGTTACGGGAAGAGTCCGTCGACTGAGCGAGAACCTGGCGGCAGTAGAGACCGCCTTTGGTTGGGCAGTACATAGGCGCTCCCAGGCGACTGCAGCTGTTGTCAACTGTTCCCAAGTGATCGTCCTCAGAGCTGCCGTGAGCGACCAGGAGAACACGGCTGTCCTGAGAGGATTTTGGGAGCTTGAGAGTATGGGAGTTGAGGACGCAGAGGTCCAGGATCACTCCGTTAGCGACATCATGCTGCGCTTTGGGAGAGGCATCGCCAAATCTGATCGACGATACGAAGTGAGCCTCCCTTGGAAACCTGATGTAAAGCTTGATTGCAACCGAGAGATCGCTTGGAAGAGACTCGAAAGCCAACGAAAGAAGCTGAGCAAGAATCCTGAGCTCATACAGAGATATGATCAGGCAGTCCGGCTTTACGTCGAGAACGCAATGGCTGAGAGGGCCGAGAGAGAAGATAACTCGGGTGAGCACGTGTACGTCGTACTGCTGCCTTCTCGCAGAACAGCCTGGTGGGGCATGTAGTACACGCGAAGATGAGAATCGTTTTCGACGCGTCTTCGCACGGACCGAACTGCAAGTCACTAAACGACAACCTGGAGAGCGGTCCGAACCTGAACCCAGACTTTGTTAGCCTGCTTCTCAACTTCAGGCAACACCCGGAGGCACTGTTCGCGCACGTCGAAAAGGCCTTCCTTCAAATTGGAGTAAACCCGGAGGATGACAACTCTCTGCGGTTCCTCTGGTACAAAGGACTTCCTCAACCGAACCAGACAACTCCGCAGGTGGAAGTCTGGCGTCTGACGAGGGTCATTTTCGGAGCCACGTCCAGCCCCTTTCTGTTGGCCGCGACCCTACGACATCATTTTAAAGAAATGGAGAGCGTATCCCCCAAGACAGCAGAGCGACTGGGTAGATCGGTCGACCTTGACGACCACTTGACGGGCGCGGAAAGGGAAGAGGACGCCCGGACATTCTGCAACGAGGCGATCGAGATATTTGGATAAGCGGGGATGAAGCTCCATAAGTGGGGCTCCAATAGCTCAGCCCTGTCGAAAATTCTTGAAGGCAAGGGTCCCGATGAGAGACCATTAAGACAACAAACGGGTGTGTTGAAGGTACTCGGTCTGACGTGGAAGCCGAATGAATACAGGCTTTCCTTTTCGGCAGAACATGTGATTGAGTTTGCCCGCCAACGAAGAAACACCAAGCGTTTCGTGCTCCAGACGACAGCACGACTCTATGACACCCTTGGTTTCCTCTCCCCCTTCGTGGTGCGAGCCAAAACCTTGTTTCAGGAAATCTGGAAGCTGAACCTGCGCTGGGACGAAACACTACCGGAAGAACTGTTGAGTGGCTGGAACAACTGGTGCGACAAGCTCACCACACTTCAGCAAATTAACGTGCCCAGATTCTACGACAGCGAGCTGAAGGGCAACGTTGTACGTCGAACGTTGCACGTGTACTCTGATGCCAGCACCTCCGCATACGGACCCATGATCTTCATCTGCTCAATGGATGACACCGGAGAAACAACCGCGACGCTCTTACTGGCTAAGTGCCGCGTGTCGCCTCTGAAGGAAATCTGCCTTGCTAGATTAGAGCTCATGGCATGCTTGATTGGATCGAAGCTGTTTAAGTACGTAAAGACACACCTCGAAATCAAAGTGGATGAAGTCCACTTCTGGACGGACTCAATGATCGCTCTGCATTAGATTAGGAGAGAGGCATCCAGGAGGAAGACTTCCGCGAAAAATAGAGTACAAGAAATTCAAGCAAACAGCGAGAAGGCAATGTGGCACCACTGCCCGGGGAAGGAAAATCCTGCCGACCTGATGACACGAGGGCTGTTCGCGGATCGACTGCTGTCTGCACCGCTCTGGTGGAACGGACCAACTTGGTTGCTACTGCCCGCGACAAAGTGGCCAGGGGAAAGTGATGAGGAGCTTTCCCACGACGCCCCGAGGAGAGGACTCCAAGAGCAGAGCTCTTCGAGATAACTGCAACTGTACCGGAAGAGCTGCTCGATATCTCAAGATTCAGCTCGGCCTTGAAACCCCACAGAACAACGACCTGAATTTTACGGTTCATCTATAACCTCAGATGGTCAGAAAAAAAGGATGGGACCACTGACAGCCGAGGATATCCAAGTAGCGCAAACACACTGGATAACGAGAGCACAAAGATCAGCGTTTGCCTCCGATATTGATTGTACAGCAAAGAGAATGTCGCCCCCACCTGGGTCGCTCTTGCGTGACTTTTGCACTTTTATCGATGAAGAGAGATTGCTGAGGATCAGCGGTCAACTCCAGTCATCGAACCTGACGCGAGAAGAACGCCACCCCATTGTACTGCCTAAGGAGCATCGATACTCAACGTTGCTGACTGTCGACGCCCATCGCCAGGTACTGCACGCGGGAGCCAGGGTCACTCTCGGGCAGCTGCGCGAGAAGTACTGGATCCTCCGCGGAAGACAGCTGTTAAAGAAAGTGGTGCGTGCGTGTGTGACCTGCCAGCGATTCAACACGACTCCTGCAAGTGCTCCAACGGGACCCTTGCCGGCGGATCGTACAGCGCGAGCGGACCCGTTTGAAGTAGTGGGCACAGACTTTGCGGGACCCCTGTATGTTAAGGCGAACGACCTCACCAGCAAATGTTACGTGCTGTTGTTTACATGTGTGGTCACCCGAGCGGTCTATTTAGAGTTAGTGACAGACATGTCGACAAAGAGCTTTCTGTATGCCTTTCGCAGATTTGTGTCGCGGAGAGGGGTATGCCGCGTCATTTATTCGGATAAAGCTTTGACATTTAACCGGGCCTCAAAAGAGGTAAGTGAACTGTGGAAGACACTTCGACACCCTGATGTGATTTAGCATTTTGCCAATGCTGGCATAGAACGGCGATTTATTGTCGAACGGGTGCCATGGTGGGGAGGTTTTTATGAGAGGCTCGTGCACTCAGTAAAGGTGCCATTGAGGAAAGTGATCGGAAAGGATTGTCTGGGCGCGGAGGAATTGGCCACGGTTCTCACCGAAATTGAAGCCGTGGTGAATTCGAGACCATTGACCTGTGTGTACAACGAGGTGGGAGAGGGCGACCCTCTCACGCCGGCGAGCTTTCTAATCAGTAGACGGCTGACGGCGCTGCCGGCGGCCGGGGGAGAGCCGCTCGCTTCGACACCGGAAACACCTCGCGGTCTGTGGCAAAAAGCGAAAACGGATCCTAAATTTATTTTGGCGGACGTGGGGGGCGGAATACCTCCGAGAACTGAGGTCTGCTTATGCTAGTCACCAAAAGCAGTCCCCTCCACCCCGAGTGGGCCAGTTGGTCCTTTTGGAAGAGCCACTTCCACGACTGCTTTGGAAGCTTGGGAAGGTTGAGAAGGTATTTTATGGACGCGATGCATGGGTTCGGTCATGCGAGATTTGCGTATATCGCGGTACAGTATTGCGAAGGCCAGTGCAACTAATCTACCCCCTAGAAATGACGGAACTCCAGAATGTGCTCGCGCCCATTCGGTGGGGAGGTTGTTGGAGCTTTCGCGAGGACGGCATCGGACTCCCTCTACGGAGAGGATGCACGCGACCATGGCTTGCCTCGGCGGAGACGATTTACGACCCCGCGCGGGGGGCGAGCTGTAAACTTCGTACCCGCAGCGGCCGGATGCAGTTGCGAAGATCAACAGTAGGGAAAGTGGAGACGGGCAGAACGAAAGCTGGAACGCAAGCAAGTGGAGAACGAGAAAGTGGTTGTCTGTTTGGAACGTGTGTGTAGTGTGTGTAGTTTAATATAAAAGTGTTGGGGTTTGTTGAGACTGATCGATATCTCGGAACGCCAAGAAGCAGCAATTCCCTCAACAGGTATCCCATATACTACTGCCACCTCACAAGTTGTGACAGCTTCTTTATGTGTTTTTTTATTTTTGACAACCTTGCTTACCATAGCTCGGTCTAATGCAGCCCTTCTTTCATGCTGTCTCGCGCAACCTGATGGCATCAGCTGAACGTCATGGTGTACGAGTTGTTTTTGAAGATGATTTCAAATTAAGTAAGCTAACTCCTTTTTCGGAAGGTAAGCAAGGTTGCCAAAAAAATTCCCAAAGAAGCGACAACCACTTGTGAGGTAGCAGTAGTTTATGAGATACCAACGGGTTGTGGGTTTTACATGGGTCGAACTGGCCGCTGCCTGAACGACCGAATATAGGAGCACAAAAGAGCGGTTAATTCTTCTTCTGCCAGTTCTGAAATTGTAAAACACCTGAGTGAATGCGGAAATTGTTACCCAGATTGGAAGCAGACGACTGTGCCTGGCAAAGAAAAAAAAAAGAAGATAAGTTTAAAAGTTTGATTAAAGAAAGAATTAGGACCACGAGCGCCGGAAAATGTGTAAGCATGCCCTTTTTAACATTGAATAATGACACTAAGGAATTTGTTTCTGTTTAGTCCCGAGTAGGTTTTGACTGCAGTATTTTTTATGTTTTTGTCCTGTGAGCAAGGGACATTTGAAAAACTGTCTTTAGACCTGTGTTCAATACTCATAGTTTCTCAGTGGTTTGCGTGTGCCTGGCGTTAGGACATAAAATAATTTTAATAGGTGAAGAAAAAAAGACCACAAGCAAGAAGACTCAGTTTGTGTGCTCTATGCTTCATAGTGTAGAGAGAGTGCCTCCTGTTTCATCTGTATAATTTAGATAAAACATGACAAAGAAGAAGACTGTTGTGGAAGTAAAAGAGAGCTCTTTGCTGGTTTCGAGACGGTGGTGTCTATGTCCCTTTGGTTGTTTTTTGTCTCAAGGTTTTATTTCTTAATTACAACAGATCGTTACGCGCACGTGATGTATGCACGACACCGTCTGTTCTCCGCAGGTTTTATCAGGATAATCATCACAAATTTTAATTTGTAGCGTAAGTTAAGTTTACGCGCTTGTTTTTCCGGGGAAACAAACAATCACGGGGTTGGTATGCTCGCAGTGGTTCGGAAACCTGGTCACTCCCGAGTGGTGGGATGACGTGTGGGTCATGGACGGCTTCGCTACGTACTTCCAGTACCGCTGCTTGGAGAATTTCGACCGCACGCCAAAATCGGTAAGCCAGCGGGGCTCTAAGAAACGGCTTAGTATGTTCTTTTTTATTTTTATAGTTATAAGTATCAAAAAATATCGATCGAACGTTACTTTCAACAGCTATTAGTTGCTGTGTTATACAACATGAAAATATTCATTCCAAATTTAAGCTATGAAGTGTCCTAAGCCAATCAATTCATATGTCGGAAAAAATATAAGGTGTCTAAAGGAACCTGGTTTGATCTAAAATGAACCGTAAAATTCGACGCCTCCACATAGCGTGTATTTCACAGGTCGATGTAACATTACAAAGCGCAGCTCATTTTACATAAGAAATAAAGCCAAAAAAATTTCTAGGGTCAACGGCGGACGGTGACGCAGACGACCGAGTCGAGTGGCGGGGCGCGTTTGGTACACGTATTAATAGATGGTGCTACCTCTTTATTCAGACTGCTCGCGTGGATCGTGGTCTATTAAAATCAACAGAATCTTTTATGTGTTGTACGTTTGGTTTAAGAATAAATGCAGACAATGCAGCCGAAACTTGAAGTAAACAAAAAATAAAAAAAAATGAAAGCCGTTTACAACTCCCTGTAACGCCAAAGTAGTGCGAAGCTCTTGAGGAGGAAGGAAGGGTACTGAGGGGGGTATACCCCTCCTCCCTTCTCCTCACCTCCTCATCCTGCCTGCTACTCCTCCCTCCGAGAGGCGTCGCCATCGCCGTCGGCATAACCGTGAGTTCACATGACCCTCGTGGCGTCACGTGGCCCTCGTGACCTCACGGGGGTCACGTTAAAGGGTTATTGACACGAGGCAGAAATCCCGGGGATTTCTCCGCGGCACGCGCATCCCGCGACAAGAACGTCAGGCTTTGCAATGTTTAAAAGCCTCGCGTTTTTTTCTAGTGATGCGCGCGTGCCGGGGAGAAATCCCCGGGATTTCTCCCTCGTGTGAATACCCCTTTACCTTGCGGGGTTACGGGACTTCACCGGGGTCACGGGACCTCACGTGGGTCACGTTGCCTCACGGGGGTCACGTGACCTCGCGGTTACGCCGACTGTAATGGCGACGCCGGCCAAGCCGGAAACGGGCGCCTAAGGGCTGCGCTCTAAAAGCGGCTGCATAGTGACTTCGGCGTTCTGGCGTTTTTTTGTTTTGTTTTTTTATTGTTCCCGCCTGTCAGGGTTACTATGGATGACATTTTATATCGAGCCTCGTTATTTTTCTCACCCTATATTTCTGGAGTGCGCCTCCCATTCTCCCGGATTTCTAATTTTCTTAGAGTTCCTTCATTTACTTACTGAAGCACAAATTTTAATTTAATATGAATTGAAAAAGAAATATCAAAAGTATTTTCCTTAATATCAACGTGATGTTTATAAACGAAGATTGTTGATCTAATTTGTTTCTAGGCGTGTTGCTGGGCCTTTAAAGTATCGGCATCTCGCTGGCCACGACGTTGATTAATGTTTTGACAGACTAGTTCGCGAGTCTGGGTTTTAGGGAATCGACGTAGGGATTTGGGTGCTGCGCACGGTACAGTGATTGAGAGGATACGACAGAGAGAGCAATATTGCCGCTTTGAGCATACTAGAGTTAAGAGAGCATGTGCCTGAAGCGAAGTATTTATTAAGAAAATAAAATGTACGAGAAAGTTAAAAAAATTTTCATGAACCGTATACCTGGTAAAATATATTTACTTAACTTTAAAACTTTATCTTACGTTCAAATATCGTGTAGATTTTTCTGCATCTGAAGCGGTATACCTTATAATACAAACTTAAAATTATCAAACCAGAAGTTTGTTTATCCGATACTACATTTTTGGGATAGGGCCGTAGTCTCCACTGTCGCAAACAATGGCTTCATGTGGCCTGAAAATAATTTAGAACGTAATCATGTATCCTTCATCAGATAACACGCAGACCGTCTCACCACCGTAGTATTCAAACAAAGACAGGGAATGGACAGGAAAAAATATTGTGCTCATAGCCCCAGCTAATCTCGCGCTTGTTAATATTATTTTTTGTGTCTGATTATATCTGAAGAATTCTCATTTTATGGTGATGGACGGACATCTCTTGGAGTTTAGTTGCCAAGAGACGGAGTGTCTAAACTGCGGATCACTATTAATTTCAATTTTCTATACTGTACCAAATAAGTTTCAACCAGGGTTGGGCATTATCACGGTACAAATGTATCACGATAGTATTTCAGAAATACTTTTCGTATATGTATTTGTGTATCACGATACATTTTTTTCAGTAGTATCTGTATTCCTGTATCGAAATACATTTGGAATGCTTCTTGGTATCGTGAAACAATCAGAATAACATGCATTTCGTTACATTTCTTCAAAAATATCCCCCCCCCCCCTCCCCCCGAAAAATAAAAGAAGCTCGAACGCCTTTTTTTTTAAACCTTTGACGGCACTAGGGTCAGGGAGATGCTGGGGCATTGTTACTATGCTCACCAAGGTTCACTCCGATTCTGCAAACTATTTTTTTATTCGTCCTCTTCTCTCTTTTGAGAAGTGTTGCGTAGTCGGGGACTACAATTAGGTGGCGTGCCAAGAGTGGCCCAGCATCTTCTGCTGCAGGTCCTTAGGTAAAGATTTTTTTGAGTCATTGTTTGCTGTTATCCAATGCCCGCCACATACCGTCTACCTTGCCCTAGCGTACACTGTACACCCAGCCGGCAAATCCTAGTCACAGTCCGTTGCAGCACGAGCCTGGCGGTGGATGACTTGAAATAATAGGATGACTCACGCAGTGAAGTCCAACACATATCCGAATGAGTCTTCGGCTGCGCCTGTAATATTGCATGGCTCAAGGGTATACGCGTCATCAGTCAACGTGAGCGTGACCCACTGCTCTGGTGATTCGAAACCCAGGAAGGACGCCAGACGTGACCTCGCTGTGCGGGCCCAGATTTCGTACACCTTCGACTCGTCTTGAGCGCGTTGTTTCTCGAAGAACTTGCACTTGTACCGGCAATATCAGGTCGCAATCCACGTGGTCTCTGTTTGGGTGATGCTGGGCGAGACTTGAGGACTGCAATTCATGCGTCGGTGGCGGAGGGTCGGCAGTAAGGATTATCACAACAGATATGCCACCGTACTGCTTTTGCAACCGTAACAGGAGATAAGACGTGTGTTCCAGGATGCTTCAGGTGGTCCAATATTCTCAAAAAAATTTAAATGACACTGCCTGCAGAATCTCCAACGAGGTAACCTACAACGAAAGTACGTATTGTCGTTTCACACAGCAGTGTGGGTAAAGTATTACATTCAAGGCCACACCTACAGATGAAGAATACCAGTTCATTCCACCGTGACATCCTGTGATCAATACAGGGGCGTCATAATGGGACAGGGGCGTGGTGACGTTTTTATGGGATTTAGGGTAACATAGAATTTATTTAGAGGTCGAACTACTTTCGCGTCACTCGTCAGACAGACGGGTTTTCATGGAAGGGACCGCGGTCAATCCTGGATAAAACTTTTTTTTTGTTTGTTTTTTAATTCATTGGAGACTTCTCTTTGTCCGAAACCACTACCTTCAAGGCGAAGTGCCAAGACTACAGGAAAGTGATCTCGGGATCAAAAACTTCCACTTCAAGCTTCATCTCAGTTGGCGACTTAAACAAATTTGAAAAATATATTTCAGCATCAGTATTTCTGTTTTTGTATCTCTGCCCTCCCTGAAATGCATTCCTGTTATTGTATTTCCAAAGACTTTTCGCCTCTGTTTAAAATGTATATTCAATACGCATCGCGATACATTTTTTACAGATATATTTTGGTGCCTACAATTTAGCTACTATTTTAATGTATCCCAGTATTTTTATTTCCCAATACATTTTGGAGTATTTCTGCCCAACTCTGATTTCAACAGTGGTTTAGTACATGATATCATACAACCTAATTCATACTTGTGACTCTCATTTCAGTATCACCTGATGGTAATTAACGACGTAATTTCCGTCATGAAGCACGATATCATCAAGTACTCTCCCGCGATCGTAACGGAAGTCGACACCCAGTACAGGATTTACCAAGCCTTCAATGTCTTCAGCACGCAGAAGGTAAGTAAAAATTAAGGTAGAATTTCATTTTTGTATTGGAAGTTCTTTCGGGATGTTTTTATTAGTACATGTCATAGATTCAGATCTGCACCAAAAACCTGGTGCCGATCTTTTCTTACATTTTTTTTGCCTTTTTTAGTTTTCCGCCTAACCGCAGATGCCGTCTCGCTTTAAATTTCATTAATAGCTAAACTGGAGAGCATTCAACATTATTGAAGTTGTATTTATGAAAAAATAATATATCTTCAAAACGTCGCGGTACAATCTGTAGGTGTTTTTTTCGCTGAATTCGATTCATTGGTATGTTTGTATAACAAAACAGGCGAACAGTTTCCGCTGTACTATATTTTTACAATAAAATTATTAAAACGTGAGAAGTGATCTGAAGCCTCGCAAGTGGAACAGAATGTCACCGAAAACAGTACTGCGAGTGTTAATAGGTGCGGCTCTGTGTACAGTTGAACCTTTTTGTAACCAACACTGATGTAGGGAAATACCGAATATAGCAAACTAATCATGAAGTTTTGTTGGTAATGCTTTATTTGAATGGGAGTTCTAGTATATAACGAAACCGCAACCGTGAGATGTGACACACTACCAGTTATAGCAAAGCAATTTCTGCTTTCCTTGCATCACAAAACACCATAAAATATTATAAAAGTAAAACAAATATTAATTTTAAAACGAAAAGTTTCAAAAGATTAGATTGCCCGATGTGCAAACAGGCGCGTTTTGGGAGGTAGCGCTAACTATGAACCGAGCGGATAACGGCGGGGGCGCCGCTGCTGGCCTCTGCGCGGCATCAAGTACCAGTGCAGACTAAAACCAACCGCCAACCACGTCACTCGTAACGGCGCTGCAAATAACGACGAAGTGGAAAGCCGTCTTTTTGAAGACAAAAGTGAATGTTCCGAGGGCGGTGGACAGCGGTCGGAAGAAAGAGGACATCGCTTTGGACTTCGAGCTTGCACCAAGCATACTATCTACCATCTAAAGCGCAAGGAAGAAGATCGAAGACTGCTATGCGAACAACGCCGACAAGATTGGCTAAAAGCTTCTCAGACCTTTCCTCTCCCTTCGTTCCTCGTGTTGCAAATTAATGTAGTCATGTTCCTGTTTCTTTTTCTTTAATGCTTCTTAGTGACATGTAAGAATATCTAGGTCCGCGATCACGCGCTTTCATGTTGTACTGCTGTGCACGTTCTTGCATGGCTTCGATTGTGGGATCGTTCGCGTCGATTTCTCTGTGTATTTTTATTACGAATATCGTATATAGCGAACAAATTTCTCCTCGCGATGCTAGTTCGTTGTAACGAGGTTCGACTTATACCTTATTCACCGACTTTTCGAAGTGAGATTATGAATTATATTAAACTAAAGTGCACAGCCTTGTCATGGGGGCGTCTGTTTAGGGCCTACATCCACGGGCGGCTATTCCAGATTGAAAAACGTTTTTCCTCATTTGACGCCCAAGATATTGTTTTCTTCTCGTACCCTGTGAACCGGCACCCTTGTCGCAAAATGGGCACAGTTATTAAGCATAGACGAGAAAAAAAAATGCTGCAGCTCTCGGCAACCAAAGTAAGGAAAAACCTGTGTTGGGCAACGAACGTCACCAGGTTTGGTGGCTAAAAGAATTGTGTGTCGGCAAACAAGAATTAATAGCTTGTGTTGTAGAGTGCTCGGGTGACAACTTAATTGTTGTGTATACATTGACACTTATGAATGCCTGAGTGATGATCACTCTAAAAAAAGCCCGTGAGTGTGCTTTCCCGCACAACAATCGGAGAGCCAATCAGCTCAACTTGCGGAGGCAGCTCAGCGAATGACAATGCCGAAACATGTTTAGACAAAAAAACATTGACATTAAGCAATGCGAGCGTGTCGTCTCGCATTGCTTAATGTCACAACTCAGACTCCGTTTTTTGGTCTAAACATATGTTTCGGCATCGTCATTCGCTGAACTGCCTCCGTAAGTTGCGCTGATTGGCTCTTCGGGTGTTGTGCGGGAAAGTAGACGCACAGACCTGTTTTAGAGTGCATACTCAGTGTGATCTTTGATTCTTCAAAACTGGAAAGTATTTTATTTTCACCGAGCCCGATGCATCGTCTTCGCTGCCTGGATGTCGGGCTTGATGTACATTAGATGGGAGGTTATACCGGTCACGATCAGTAGAGCAATTAACACAAACAAGTTAATTTACCTTTACATTTCTGCTTTGATGGGTTACGTTGTTATTGCGGCATTTACGGCGATTACACTTGGAGACTGAACAAATGGAAATATTTTGCAAATGTGCAACGTGTTTTGGGATATTAATAGAAAGGTTTAATTCCGTTCTTTTTTCGATTTCCAAAAATAACAAACCTTGACCTCTTTTAGCTTTCATGTTGAGAACTGTAACGTAGTTGATTTTGGCATCTCGCCACATTCTCGGCAGTGTGCCATCTCTGCAATTACCAGGGAAGAGCTGCCGAGATTCTGAGGACGAGACTGATACAATCATACGACTACGCGGCTCTTCTGAGCAGGGTGTCAAACTGAAACCGAACCGAGACGGAAACCGGAACCGAACCGTTATTTCTAGCCGAACCGAAACTGAACCGAACCGAAATCTTCGTGGGCATGTTGAAACTGAAGCGGAATAGAACCGGGAAAAATATAACGGTAACCGGTTCCAAACGGTTCACGATATGTTTTATTATTTTTTGTTAGTATCACAAAATAAATATATGGCGAAAAAGGGCAGCTGTATTTCTATACCTTGGTGAAATCGTCATACACAGGATTCCAGTGAATCAGAAATGGAGGGTTCTCGTAACGCTTTTGCATTGGCACTATAATCAGTCATGTGTCACGAGGTCACACGATGTCATGGTGTCAAGACAAGGTGTCCAGTAATGTCACGTCACATGATCACGTGACGTCACGTGATTCCCTGCATGTAGTCGCTTCAAATTGAAAACTTCACTATATTTATTAACGTTGTTAACACCGTGACGTAATATGGCATCTGGACTTCTCACCAAGACGCATGTGACACTCCAACATACGAGATTTTCCCCACCCCCAGTCGAGTGCATGGGATCATCAGCATCGCCGAACATTCGAGTTACGGCTCGGCCTCAATTAAAGAGGATTATTGCCCAACTCTAACCATATCTGAAGCTCAGCCCATGCGCTATGCTTTGCCAACCCCAGTGCATGACTATGATGAACATTGACGGTATATAGTTAGCTTTTGTCTTAATGTCACGATGTTGCTTTTTCTAATTGCAAGTTAAGGGGAGAGTTTTTTTTCTGCATGCCGCCATTGCGTGGAATAAACTTACGAATGTTTTTTTCTTTTTTGAATTTATAATGGTTAGTGCTTACATCTTGGCGGTGTTGCACGGCCCATTTTGCATATATAAACATTATTGAGGCACCCAAACATGTTTTCTTTGTCGTTGAACTGCCTCAGAAAGTTGTCTCCGAGAATGGAAGTATTGAAAGGATTAAATTACTTAATTATCTGACGTTAGCTAGAACCATAAGTTTGACGGGTGGGACACATCAAAAGAAAGATCTTAGTGGCCTCAAATGGTCAACCGAACGTTTTTTGTTCTCAGGTCCTTCCGCAAGAATCAACCGCTTCCGCATTTTTTTAAAACTTCACAGTTAAGTGCAACATAAAAACAAGAGAGGATTGCTGTTAAATTGTGACACAGATATAACTGTCGAATTAACATCCCCAAACAGAAAAGTCACTCCATCAAAGATTAAAAAAATATATATATCTATCATTTTTTTATTTTCCCTTGAGGGCCCCAGGGGGCGTTATATATATATATATATATATATATATATATATATATATGGGTGGGGGTAGATTTACACACTTACTGTGTTGTAAAGGTTCCTCTGCCCCGCGTCTTCGGTACAGACCAGGAAGTGTACCGCGGAAACTACTTCTTGTTTTCAAAAACACTCCTACCTGAAAGCGTGTTTTCGTGGTGCTAGACGTGTGCGCTGTTACAAAAATAATAATTTGTGCGTCTCAAATACATGGCTTCCACTCAGCGCCAACCTTCTGCAGCGTGAATTTTGCACCAGCAGATTCGATTTTTTTCAGCAAGGAGCATGTTAAACATATAGACATTCTGGTGAAATGCGATGTTCGCAACACAGGCAATAGATGTGCAAATTGTAAAGGATATATAGAAGTCTCTCAATGATATACGGCTGCCAAAGGAAATATTGAAGCGCATGACTGATAAAGCACAGAGTTCTAAAGTGAGAGCGCAAACCAGTGCACGTCAAACAGAAAATAATGTCATCCCCCCGAGGCAGTATTTCGCGAAGTTTCGAGCTGATGCAAGCTCGAAACTACGAACCGGTTTCGAGCCTCTCTGTCCTTCGCGCTGTATATGTATAATAAGAAATATTATTGCAAGCATCCGTATGAATTTATTTTTACAGTCTGGCGTTGTGTATGAGATTATTTAGGAAAAACGTTCAGCCTTTTCACTCTCGTAAAGAAGGAAAACCAGCGGAGCTGTACTTGATACACTGCCGCAACGCGCACGCGCCCGTTTCCCGCTGCTTCTCGTCCGACACGCCGCCGATCGTGGACACGTCTCGGCGAACCAGAGTCGGTCGCACACGGAGCACGTTGCGCCAAACGGCTAACCCACAAACTCCCTCTGGAACCTCGCCGTCGCTCCCGGGAACTGTTCTGCCGGCGTGGAGTGATGTCGTCGCTGGGCCTCGCGCTTGCGCTTGGCCTCCGTGACGTTGGCGCGCCGGCGCCTTTTACATCGCTGGATCCAAGCACAAAGCAGGATTTTGTTTGGGGGGAAGGGCCACCCATGAAAAAATGCTGTATGAGGGGGAGGGGGAAGAGGTGGTCCCAGCAAAATGGAAGATTTCGAGGGGGGGGGGGGGGGGGGGGGGGCTTCTCTGAGCCGCTGAAAGCGAAGCTCAGTGAAGTTCTGGTAGAAGTCGATGAATTCAGAGAGAGTCACAAGCGTTTTGACGACAAGGATTTGAAAAGCATTTTCGGCAATGCGTTTCATGATACTCTTCAGTTTCTCATCTTCGGTCATGTGGGTGTCAACACTGTTGCACAACTTCAGGACATCTTCGATGTAGCTAATGAAGCTTTCATCGTGCAGTTGGGTGCGTGATGCCAATGTCCTCTTTGCGACGTGCTTCCGCTGGGCAGGCTTCCTAAATACTTCCTGGATCTTTGCTTTGAAATGGGGCCAGGTCACCAGCTCTGATTCATGGTTGGTGCACCATAGCTTTGCAACGTCGGTTAGATAAAAAAATTATGTTATGAGCTTCACGGTGTCATCCCATTTGTTGTGGAGGCTCACCTTTTCAACTGACTCCAACCAGTCGTCAATGTCATCGTCCCCGATCCCGCTGAAGAGCTTCGGGTCCCGCTGAGGGAGGGCTCCGGCGCATACGATAGTGGTTGCACCTGCAACAGTGGGTGTCTGGTTAGAGGTGGTGCCCTGCGCTGCACCATCCGCGGTTTCCTGGCGTGATATCCCTTGGCGTCGCATCGATTTCAGAAGTCCAGGATGCACGAACACTTGCGAGGGAAGTCCGGATAGTTAGGGAAGCCCGCACCTCCACCAATTGTAAGGAAACGATGATAGAAACTGATGGGGGTTTATTATTTACAGTGTGGTAGCCAGGTTGAGAAAAAGGCCGTTGGGAATCCAGATAGTCGCGCGCTCTGCCTGAACGAACCTCTTCTTCCTCGTCTTCCCTCAGCCTCCGTGTTTTTCCAAAACGCATCGTAAATCTTCTCTTCGTCACAATATATAGCTCTCTTTTTATTTCTCTTTCTCTAACTTCGACGTAATAGTTTCAATCACTTTCTTCCCTCTTCGCTCACAATATTACAAGGGATGCACTTGTCAATCTTCATTCATTCCCATTATTGTTGTTACTCTTTATTAAGATAAGGATGGCGCGATGGCCTGGAGGGGACGGTTTACAGGGGGGGATTAAAGCAAAACGAAAATGAAGGTAGAAATCCTTCGGACAATGCCCGTCGCGCGCGCAAAGTCCCAGAGGGACAGAAGCGTGTCTTTCGCACAGGCACGCACTTTATATATATATATATAGTGAAATGTAATTTGTATACCACAGTTCACGTTATATATGGCGACGAGGGGCGCATGCCATGATTAGCACTGTAATAATTCCTTAGTTCAAAGAAAAAACTGAGATTTCACTTTCAATACTGCGACGCAAAGTCGTACCGATCACGTGTATTTTAGGCAAAGTACAACACTTCCTGACAACCTTTTGATTCAAGTAAAATGTATATGACTCTGGTTTACAAAGGTATGTTCGAGTCGTATGAAACAACATTTTGTATGTTAATCTAAACTTTCTTTTCCTGTTGTGTCTAAATTAAATAACGGCCTTACATTTTTTTTTCGGTCGCGCACCAGTCACCAAGCTGTATTTGGAGATTTTCGTTTGTCCTTTGTCCCCCAAGGAATATTTTCGTCACTTATGTCCAGCTCGCTTGCACCTTTGGCATTTAAGTACATTACAGTCATGACCTTAAATTGCAAGCTTTAGCCATGTTGGCGTTAGACTGGTGGCAGCTCATAAAACTCGTTTGTTCTACTGACGTACAACCCATGGTGAGCTTTCGGTTTCAAACTCTGCTTCTTAGCGGTTTTGGGCAGGATGTGCGACACTCCCCCCCAATAGCGTTGGGAAATCGGTCGACAAATAATGAAACCTTATCAAATATTATTTTGAAATTATTTCTTTTTTTCGAAACTGTTTAAAATATTTAGGTATCTCCATGGGACTGTCGTTAAAGCTGAAACTGCAGCATGACCTGGCAAACCATCATTGCGCAAAGATACTAAACAAATTTTAGTTAACCTTTCTGCGGGTTGTGCCGATTATGCACTCATACCATTTCCGGCGAGCCCGGTGCAAATAAAAGTAAGACGGTACTCATGTAGCAGTCTCCCACTTTAAAAAAACGCTCGAATTAAAATCAAGCACTATGTATAATGGTATACAGATACCTTCTTAAGGTGGCCGATGAAGGGACATAGTGTATATACCTGCATACTTGGAGTGCATAAACTTATGTGCAATAAGGCAGTATTGAGCTACTGAACTATGTACCGATATAAAATTGTGCTGCGAAGCTAAGCTTTTTTGATGATGCTTTTTTGTGTGTGTGTAGCTGTGGAAACCGATTTTTGAAATCATGGCATTTTCCTGACATAAACAAACTCCAGCACCTTCGAACTTCTGAAAACATATTAATATTTTTTGCGACATTAAAAGTCATGCAAATACCTTTTGATGACGGTAATGTGCGAGCGCAACCCCTGCCAGTTATTCTTATTTATCAGAAGGCTAACATTCTTGATGACATATCTATTTGTCAAAACCTTGGGAGGATTCCAAAATTTCATTTTAAGTCTAGGCGAAAAAAAAAATTAGATAGGACAGACAGCGCTGAAGAAACTTTTTTTTTATCTCCATCGCAGCAACAACCGAACCGCCTGACGCACTATCTGACTAGCAGGGTGACAGCTCAGCTGAGGTCCTGCTACGTGACAATCGTAGCACAGTAGGCATACGCAGTATTGATATCTTATCGTCTATTTTTTTGTTTGTTTTTGTTTTTGTTCCAAGAGCAGCCATTCTAACACATCACCGCTTCTATTGAAATATCTGTTTAACAGGTTACCTGACGTCGGACATAAAGCAATATATTAAAACAATTCATTTATGGCCGTATATTTCGACCAATATTTTAGTTTAGTTTGTCCTGAGTTATTCTTATTCTTACAAGTCTTGCGTTGATTACCACATAAACATCGCACACTGCGGAGATAAACTTTTCTGTGAGTTGAAAGTATAGGCACCTTTGTGGTTTAGTCCTGTTTCCGTTTTATTCATTTCGCAATATAAGTACTTAAAGCAACACGCTCGTTAGAATATTGGAAACATTTCCTTCGTTAGTGCAAATTGTGCGGTTGCCATTTTGCGTTAAGGAGTTTGGTAATGCATTTTCAGGCTGTTGCAGTCTTACGTATGCTAGACATGGCAATGGGAGAGAACATTTTCAAACGCGGCATTCACGTGAGTAGACTGCTTTGTTTACTTGCACTATGACTGTTTCAGGATTAAGTTTACTTTTTTTAGTCGGTCCAACATCTTTAGACAAGGGCAACTTGGGTTAAGATTATCTTAGACCAGACATATACAAGTTACTCCAAAGTTAATTATGTTAAGGTACTGAGTATTGGACTTACGAGTAATTCGAGTAGAGTAGAAATTACTGAAATGAAAAGTAATAGAGTAAATTACTAAATACTGTAAAAACGCAGCGGATTGCCTTTGATGTTACTTTTTTATGGTAACAAAAAGTGCACAGGTTTTGATCTATTAGTAAAATTCTGCTACCGAAATATAAAGCGGTTGTGTTTTCACAGAAATGGCTTTAATAGATTGTTCTGCTTCTGCGTGCCTAATGGTTTTTCTACATTTTTGTGTTTTGGTAAATGATGTACTGTGGATGTATAATTTCTAATATGAGGTTTAGCACTGCCAGAGCTTGATTTTTCAGACAGTGTTTGCTTGTTTGCTGTGTTGCGTAAAGTACATCTAAAAAGTATACTTGAAGCAAAGTACAAGGTAAATGTACAAGGAAGGAAGTAAAGTGCCATAAATACAAGGCGCTTTTTGTGTAAAGTAGCGGTACTTTTGACACAATCTTTCGGGACGCCCTTTTATCCCCTATAGTTATTTTTCTTCTATTAGGCAAGCATCGTTTCAGGGGTCATTGGAGGCTGTGCATCAGTACCTTCGGAAATGTCGGCAAATATTGGATAAAGTCAAATAGCGTCTCGCTGACGAACTATTTAACAAAATCTACGCATAAGGCCCATATTTGTATCGGTCTTATAGTCGCCATTACTTCACTCAAAGAAATTACCTGATGACGTCTCAAAAGACGATAGCGCGTTTTCACATTACGATACGCCATTCTTTTTCTTTTTCGAGCTTGGGGAAGGTATTTTGATGCCGGGAGTTATACTTTCCTCGGAAAGTACCAGGAAAAATACTTTAGGAGTACATGCTCACATAATGTACTTCAAGTAGCTACAATTTTTCTAAGCCTATTTGATGTACTACTTCAAGTACCCTCTAGTTAAAGTATTTCCCAGCACTGCTTGTTTATAAATATTATCTTTTAAACGTTGGGAAAATTATTAAGATTTCTCGAACGATCTTGGAATCTTGGATTACCTGCATGCTCTGAGTTTCGTGAAAAAGCAACAAAAAAAGAAACCTTCCAGCCTTTCTACTTTGGTGAAGAAGGAAGAGCAGAGGACCTGTAGCTTCTGTTCTCAGCGCTGGCCTTCTAGGCGAGCGATTAGATCTTCTTTCGCAGGTGAATCTGAAGCACTCGACGCAGTGAAACTTTAGGTGATAGCGGCTTCGCGGTGGTTGCGGAACCATTCGCACTGCTGCGCACATCGCCGCTCATTGCGCTCCCGCTCTTCTCCCTCCGAAGAAAGGTTGCCGCCATCTGAGAGCGACGGCGGCAACCAGTTGTCTAGTTGCCGCCCTCACTCCTAGATGGCGGTAGCTGTCCAAAGTTCGGTAAACCGGCTTGCCGCCGTCGCCCATAGATGGCGGCCTCTGCCCAGAGTTCGGTGCCATCATTTCTTTGCTGGTGGACAGGATCCTGGGAAAACAAGCCCTTAACTGCTCCGCTCTAAAATGTCACCTTTGCGTTGCAATTTAGCACGCGATTCTTCGCATAGCACAAACTACGGCAGCATCAGATGAGCTTCAGAGCGGGCGATGCATTTTGTTGCCTCCTTTGAGTGAGGATGCAGTGCGCACACCTCCTGTAGTGGTCCAGAGTTCTTACTTCGGGGAGAAGTGGGAACAAGACCTTTCTTTAAATGAGTCAAGTGTCCTTGAGCTCTGGGACACAAAGAAACATAACTTTTCGGCGCTAATCCCTCAGTTACTCGGCATCAGTTGCGATGTGTCTGTGCGCTCCTCGCGCCTCGTAGCAGGGTTCTTGCAGTGGGGGACTCGTGAAAATTTTAGTGTTTCAAACCCTCTAAACAACTGTCCCTGGCTATGCCAGATGCTTCACCTATTTGTAAATTTTAACTGATCCACCAACATATTTCCTCTTTTTTTGTGCGGGAATGTTAGTTCACGGAAAAATTAATAAACTGGAAAATGCAATGTCAAATATTCAGAGCGAAATGGTGAAAGTTGATAGTCTAAAGGAAGTCGTTGCAAACCTAGAACAGACAGTCAGACAGCAATGTGAAAAGCTAATTGACCTAGAAAATAGAGGAAGGCGAAATAATCTACTTATATTTGGCTTACCCGAAAAACACAACGAAAGCACCGAGGAACTGAAGCGAACCGTAACGAAAGATGTCTTCCCGGAGACTCTCGGCATCACAGTAACTTCGATTGAGCGAATTCACAGACTTGGACGTAAGCGCGAGGAAACGAATAGACCGGTAATCATAAAGTTCTTCGACTACAACGAGATAGAGGAAATATTTAAAAACTGTAGAAAACTAAAAGGAACTAAGCTCAGTATCAGTAGTGACTACGCAAAAGAAACAGTGCAAGTAAGAAAACTATTATGGGGAAGCGCGGCATCGAACAGAGCAAAGGGCGATAAGGTATCACTTGTACATGACAAGCTGAAGATTAATGGTGAAACATTTGTGTGGGATCTTAATCTAAACCAGCGACGTCGTGTTCAACCCAGTGGGGCAGCCTACAACTGACGCGATGCAAGGGCGGCTGAAAACGATCCACCTGAATTGAGAGTTATTAGCCTAAACGCCCGAAGTGTGGTTAATAAAATTGAAGCTCTAGAAATTTTGTTTCTTGCCCACAGTCCCCATGTGGTAGCTATTACAGAAACATGGCTAAACTCCAATATAGAAAGCGATTGCATTGTTCCCCCCAATTATAAATTAGTTAGGTGTGATAGAACTACCAGAGGCGGGGGTGTGGCTATTTGTTTGAGAAATGACATTGATTGTGTGGTGCTTGAATGCGACTGTGATGAAACTGTTTGGTGCCGAATTTCTTATTACAGTCGAACGTTCCTTTTCGGAGTGGTTTATAGAACGCCAAACGCACCAGTAGAATTTTTGGAGGGCTTGAATGAGTTTTTGTGCAAATATGTAAATGATACTACCAAGGTAATCATGACTGGAGATTTTAATTTGCCCCATGTAAATTGGGCTCTTTTGACAGCTGGTGGCATTGATATCCTTAACGGAGAAAAAATAATTGACATAACGTTTAATCACAACCTTACCCAAATAGTCAAGGAATACACTAGAATCACCGACCAGTCTCAGTCAACATTAGACCTTGTCTTTATTACAGAAAACATATCGGATTACGAGATTTCAATTGTAGAAGGAATTTCAGACCATAAAATGATTTTGTTTACGATTCCACTACCACGACAGGGTCATTGCAGGGTTGCTAGGCCCCTAATTGTTAAAGACGTTACTCGCGCAGACGATACAAGTATTATAGATTACTTAGAGACATCCTTAGAAACATTAGACCAACTAAGCATTACAAGTACAGTAGATGATCTGTGGAATTTTTTTAAAACTACTACTTCCTTTTGTATTAATTCCTTTGTTCCCAATAAAACTAAAAAGACATATCGCACAAATCCCTGGATAACGCGTGAAATTATCCACCTAAAACGTCAAATCAAAAGGCACAGAAAAGGTTTTAAAGAACATATAAATGCTCTAAAAATTAAATTAAAAACGTCACTCAAACAAGCCAAAGAGAGATTCTTTTCAGTGACTCTTCACAACTTTATAAAAACTGCCCCTCAGAAATTCTGGCGTTTCTTAAGAGGAAAGAGGGAAATGATCGAGCAGATTGTTGAAAACGATGTGGTCATTACTGACAGTGCAGAAATGGCAGATCGGTTTAACGTGTTTTTCCATTCAGTCTTTTCAGCCCACGACGTACAAAATCTCGATGAGGCCTTTCATTCTGATATTGAAACGAGTACGCCAGAAATAGAGATAAGCCAGTCCGGAATATTTGCTAAGCTATTGTCACTGGATACAAAAAAATCAACAGGCCCGGATAAAATACCGAATGAATTCTTAAAGCGATATGCAGAGTGGCTATCTTTTTATTTAAAAATTATCTTCGACAAATCATTACAAACGGAGTCACTCCCGCAAGATTGGCTATCCGCACGTGTCGTCCCTGTGTTTAAAGGAGGAAGCCGCTTTACGATAGAAAACTACCGGCCTATTTCATTGACCAGCGTTTGCTGTAAAGTGATGGAGCACGTCATTTCAAAATATATATTTACTTTTTTAGAGGAGCGAAAGACGTTATACTCTCATCAGCATGGCTTTCGAAATGGTTTGTCAACCGTAACGCAGCTTGTTGAAACGTTTCATGATTTTTCTTTATCTGTAAATAATAAGGAACAGATCGATGTAATTTGTATAGACTTTTCAAAAGCATTCGACCGCATACCTCACAAAAAATTATTATTCAAATTAAAAAAGATAGGGTTGTGTGATAAAATCGTTAACTGGATAGAAGCATACCTGTCAAATCGGAGTCAAAAAGTTAAGATAAATGGAAACATATCACCACCTCTATCTGTAACCTCTGGAGTCCCGCAGGGCTCAGTCTTAGGTCCATTATTGTTTTTGATATATATAAATGATATAGCTACGCATATTGCAGAACCAGTAAAACTAAAACTTTTTGCAGATGATTTCCTTCTTTACTCTGTCATAAACAATACTAATGATCAATTAGCTCTTAATAGGAACCTGGAAAATCTAAGGCAATGGTGTGAGGACTGGCAAATGCAAATAAATTTTCGTAAGTCGACATATATCCATATAACGAACAAAAAAAGCGTTTTGAAATTTTGTTATAATATAGGCAATGTTAATTTGAGTGTTGTAAACAGTTTTAAGTACCTTGGTGTGGTGATCTCACACGATTTGCAATGGCGCACCCATATAGATAATGTCTACTCCTCTGCCTATCGAAGTTTGTGCTTTCTTAAACGAAAGTTAAAACATGCAACTAGTAATGCCAAAATCACAGCTTATAAGACAATGATCCGTCCTATTTTAGAGTACGCCAGCATTGTATGGAGTCCAAACAAAAAAGTAGACATCAATAGACTAGAAAAAATTCAAAGGCAGGCTGCACGTTTCATTCTTAATAAATACAAACGAACAGACTCTGTGACTGAAATGCTTAGCCAGTGTGGACTTCAATCATTAGAAACTAGACGGAGAATAGCGCGGCTAAAGTTCTTATTTGCGTTGTATAACAATCACTTAAACATTGAACCTGAACTATATTTAAATGAAACACATAAACGATCGCGCAGATTAAATCACAATAAAACAATCCAACCGTATAATAGTAGGATAGACGTTTTTAAATATTCATTCTTTGTGCAAACAATTGAAGACTGGAACCAACTTCCAGATTATGTCATTAATTCTGCAAATATGTCCCAATTCGAGTCTTCTTTAGAAAAGATATTTACCCAGCAATAAATAAGAAGGGCGTTTTTCCTTTTTTTCTATTTCACTTCTTTTTACAAAGTGTGGCGATATGGTTCACGTTGTCTTCAATTAAAAATTGTATAACAGTCTTCTATTACGTACATATGTATAGAGTTCAAATTTTTGATATGACTATATATATTGTTGTTACCTCTCCTGTAATAGCCTTCAAGTGAAGGCTGACAGTATTCTTAAATAAAAATAAAAATAAATAAAAAAATAAAAAAAATAAAAATAAGCAAACCTACCAATAAAATTCGACAGTAGTTTGTGATTTGAGTTGAGATTACTCGGAAAAATTAGTAAAAGTAAACTACTAACTAGCAAACTAAACGTGTAATTGAAAGTTACTAAAGTACTAAAAAGTAGCTAAACTACAGTAACTAGTGTAAAGTAGTTGAACTACGTACAAGTCTGTTTTAGACCTGGGGTTAAGTTGGTTGCCATGGCAACCTCTGGAAAAGAGACGAGAGGTGTTGAGCGGTTAGATAAATATTTAGAAAGGTAGAAGGAACTTATTTATTTTTATGTTTGGGCATAATGTCCGAGGGGTGGTCAGAAAGTTTTTCAACTCGGCCATAACCAAAAGGCTCACAGCGATATCTCCATAACCTTTGGTTAATTCATCAGTCTACCCGAACATGGTCGCATTTAAAGCTATCCGGTTCTTCTCTTGATCTGCATCAGTCAGTTAAACATGGCCACCTCCCCGATTTCAAACCCAGGTACAGGAGCGTGATAAGTTTTTGGTGCTAAACAAGGAGCTCCCCTACAGAAATGCACAGTAGAATAATAAATGGGCATGGCAGTGAATGTCCTTCTGATGCAAGAATAACTCGGAGAAAGGGTAAAAGCACAGGCGAGCTGGTGAAGAACTTCCATCGTAAGCCGGAGACACGGCAAAATAAAAAAAACGGCCGTCGCGACGTGCGCGACGACCGCAGGTCAGGGCGGCCGTGCACTTCGATCGATTTGGATCATTTAGCCCGAGTTGAGTCTTATAAGGAGGAATTGCTGAATTAAAGTATCCGAAGTTGCCACAGAATTAAACATTTCCTATGGCAGTGCGTTCACAATCATCCATTACATTCTGGGCATCTCGAAGGCCTCGGCACGATGAGTGTCACGGAATCTCTCTACGCAAAATCGACAACAGCACTTGCATTCATCAAGCGAACTTTTGGGTCTCCACGAAAGCGACCCAGAAGATTCTCTCGCCCGCCATGTGAGTGTGAATAAGGCGTGGCTTTACTAGTGGCGTCCAGAAACAAAACCAGGGCTTATGTACTGAAGACATTGGGGGGTCCCCCTCTCCGATAGAATTCAAGTGGCAACACTCAAGTAGAAAAGTTATGGGGACGGTGTTTTTTGGAGGAACGCGGAGGGGATCCTACTGATTGATTATCTCTAAAGCTGCATAATAGTAGCAGGCGAATGTTAAGCCAAAGTCCTCCGCAAATTGTGTAACCTATACTTCGCTTCAGCTTAAATCCAGACGCACCTGACACTACGAGCTAATACGACCAATCAAGTTGCGTCAAAAGCACAAATCACGTTCTATTTTGATTGGTTTAGCGATGATGTAACACGTACAGGTACATGAGGAACACTATCATAGTGCGCTTTTGATCCTGTTTAATTGGTTCCCCCAACTCGTAGTTTCGGCTGCATCTGCACTTGAGGTAAAACGAAGTATAGATTTTTTTTTAATAACCCAATCTAGAGAAACATTTCAAAACAGCAAGGTTCAAGGACTAAAACGCACTACAAACTGCCACAGAGCAGTGGTTTAACGAGAAGAAAGAAAGTTTTTTGCTAGCTACCAGAGGCCTCCCAAGCAAATTGAATAAATGCATATATGTAGAGAACGGATTGCATTGAAATATATTTGTTTCTTCAAATCCGTAATATTTGAAAACGAGCGCGTACTTGACATGATACGAATATTTGAAAGAATAAAACACCGAGGGCAAAGAAGTAAAAAAAGACTTCTTTCACTCAGCAGCAGAACATAGTATCTATGTTCTATGTTCTGCTGCTCAATGAAAGAATTCCTTTTTTCGCCCTCGTCTTCGATGTTTTATTCTTTCAGGTGTTTGTACCTTCAAAGCGCTGGTTGGCTTTTTATATGCGACTTGCGCACCTTCACGATCACCCCTTTTATATGCATGATTGACACTCGATCTCAATTTTTTGTCTACACACGTCACCAAATATTTGTTAAAGGAATGGTCCGGTGATATCTAGAAGCACTAAGTTTTTGCACATGTCACGTACAGAGGGTCTAAGTATAGTCACTTGTGATTTCTATTTCTTTTAAAAATGGCCGAATAACTGTGAATTTATTTATGAGCATCACTAGAAAACCGCAAGTCAAGTTTTGCAACAATCAATATGTCGCCATTTCGTGACGTCACAGCATGCATATTATCGTGAGGTTCGAGGGCGTTGACTTATTCCAGTTTGAGGTGAACAAGCTCGATTGCGGGAGCAAGGAACACCGTCGAAGAACCGAGCTGGCCCCAATAACGTAAATATTGTCGTTCTCAGAACGAATTTACTTTTTTTTAAACAGCAGTTGCAATCGGACTCTGCTCAAATAGCGCCTCCATCGCCAGGATTAATTGATCTCGCTGCAGACAGCTGTCTTCACAATATCGGATGTTGTGAGAAGAAAACTTGAGTGGTGCGAGAAGGCAATGCATTACTGAATTAGCGCTTTACACAGACGATCAGAGAGCCCGAACTGCGGTACGGGACAGTGATCTTGCCTTTTTGCAGTGATTTTATATCAACTCAGTTGTGGAACTAGCGCATAGTTGGGCGTCCATCTCTTCACCTGGCTTAAAGCGCTATCTTAGGCGTTGCCTTTCAAAACTGTATTCTTCGGAAACGATAAGGTGAAGTGCCATCTCGGCGCTGTTTTTCAAAACCTGCGTAAATGTGGTAACGTCATAGCAGCCGTCCTTCCAAGAAACGGGGATGCGTCGAACGACGAAGGGACCTTGGGGAGGGGGGGGTGGGGAGGGCACGTTTCATTGAAGCGGCATCTAGGAGCAGTTCCGCAACTAGATGCCCTTCTCACAATGTTTCGTCAGAGCTTCAATGTTCCCAACAAAAAACGCCGCTTATTTTGCGGACACGATTTGACCAGTTGGGCTCTGTGTAAGATGAAGTAACCTGTGCGGAGAAGGTTTAAAAAGTCTGATATTGTGCAGAAATTGTTGAAGTGGCAATGAATTTATTTATGATTTTGTCGAAGACAAGAATCTACCCCCCAAAAAAATACCTTCAAAATTTGTAGTGGGTGCTACGGTGCGGGAAATGTCGCCTTTTTACACAATTTGAGACAGAACCTAATCCGGCAAATAGTGCCAGTGATGTCGATTTCTCCACCCTCCGCCGGCTCAAAAAATAAGCTTGCTAATAGAGCTCAGCTTGTTGTTTCCCGCAGAGAAGCGGTGGAGGGGAATGTCCCCAGTCATCAATGCAATTTTTACTCCCCACGGAAAATGAATGATTGGGATATCTATTATATTAATGTGCTCCGAAAGGGCTGCTAAATATATCTCGCAATATTTTATCACTACCGATGATAGCTTTATGTTCTCTAGAGCCTGAGCATAAAACTATATAGTGCGGGAACTTGTACATTTTCATTATACATTTAATATTCCCTTCACTTCGTTAGAAAAAAAATGTTCTCTCCAGTTTCTTCTTTAGTAAATATAAAAATTCAACATTTTGACAAATTTAAAACATATTTGCGTGCTTTTTAAACAAAGGTTAAAAGAGTGAAACATTTAAAATTACGTTCGTGAATTCACGTCAAAAACTCAATTAACGCCGAAAACAAACTCCAGCACCTCTCATTGTAAATTCACCGAAAATAAAGCCCATAAACGCAAATTAGGCAGTATCATACCACCATGTTGCCTCCACGTAAGGGATAACAAGCGGGGTTGAAGGTAACTACTATATTACCATAAAAATGTGTGAAACAATCCAACTTTCGAAATAGCTAATTGAGAATTGACAAATGCCTCGGCACCACCGAGATACGAAGTTTTCTTGCCGTGGAATGTGTGCTCCAAGTGTGCTTGTGCCTCGCCAGTGGAAAGTGCCCTTGTGAAACAAAACGGATGTATTTGAATTTCAAACACAAGGGTCGTGCATTCCAGCAAGATTTCATGAAAGTTTTATAGACATGCCAACGTGGGATGCTATCATTCGTATACGGGCTCGCCGATTCTTGGTTTCTAAGGTTCCTTTTTTAAAGCGTTTCAGATCTAATAAATGCTCACAGATTATTCATAGATGTACTGCGCATTCTATAATAATCTCCAATTTACTTTTTCAGGACATTCTCACGTCCAGGATGTTCCAAAGCGTCACTTCCCAGATGATTTGGGACGCACTCACAGAGGTATTCTCCGCCTTGTAATTGTGTCCGTCTTGTTCAGTTGCAGCTTATATTTATTACCTATCTACTTTACTGCAAATAAAACATTCCGGTAAGTTAATAAATGCAAAAATAAATTTAAAAGGTTTAGTAGCGTAACCACAACTTCAACGAAGATATCAAATTTCAAGAAGCGAAAGCAAGCAGTTTCTTAGGAAGCATCACCTAAACCCCGTAAAAAGGATAAATAAAGGCACAGGCAAGAGGACACAAAATCACAAAACGCAGCTTGATTTATTTGCAAGGGAGCGACCGAAGAAGAACACCCGCCCCCCCCCCTTTTTTTTTCTGTTTTAAGCAGCAAAACCCTCGAAAAAAAAAATAAAAAATAACCGAAGAAACATTTTTTTTGCGTTCATTCAAAACTATTGCCAGCTGGATTACACAATTCCTCTGGTCCATTATACTTAAAATTTTCTTTTAGTTCCTTTTAAATAAATCACTTTCTTCACGCAAGAGAGGCTTCTTCTAACAAAGGAGTGCACGCATTACATCCAGCAACATGTTTGAATATTTGAGATAATGGAGATCATTTTTCCCATTTCCTTTGTGTTCTAAGAAGGTGGCTCATACGAATAGACCCCCCTTGCCCACATACCAGCCCTCCTCCCCCCTTCCCCCTTTCCCCTCCCCCCCCCCAAAAAAAAAGAAAAAAAGGAAAATAGGTTTCTGTTATCTTATTTTTTGGTTATCTTAAGGATCTCTGTCACGGGTTTGATTAGGGTAATTGTGCTTTGTTCTTATACCTGTACCTGCAAGTTTATATTCGCGCAAACTCATGAATATAGAAGATTTTACACTCTAAGAAGTCTGTAGCGTTTGCTTTCTCGCAATGCACTCGAGAGGGCCAATCTCCGCACTCTGCGGAAAGAGCTCGACAAATGACGGGGCTGCTAATCGTGTCGAGACGGGTTACAAGAAACTCGGTTATAAGGAAATAGCGGCTGCAGCGGAGCGATCACTATTTCCCGTTTCCCTTTTCACATCGTTAAAACGAAGTCGCTTATAACGAAATAACAGATATAACGAAGTGATTTCTGATTCCTGTTTACTTCGCTATTACCGGTTTCGACAGTATGTTTAAACTTAGGAGAACTGCCTGCTATGAGACAGGAACCATGACGTTTCACCATTGTCGGTGCCCCGGCGAAGTCCGGAGTCTATAATTACTATGAGCCCTATTGAAGTCTATAATTACTATGAGCCCTCTGATTCGTCAAGCACCCGCCGTAGATATCTCGGATTGGCTCTCCATAGTGTTTTGCGGTAGAGGAGACGCTTCAGATTTCTTCGGGTGTTTGGTCATGTCTCTCTGTTACGGTACTCTTGCAAGTTATTTGTAAAATATTCAAAGACTCGATGAACGACCATGTCCTGTCGTCGGAAATCGAGCGTTTAATTTCGAGCTATATAGAGCATGGTTACAGAGGGCTAGAATGGCCCCTGAAATGCCGCGTGCGTCGCAACACTTCGTCCTATCCCAGGTACAACCCAAGAAGAGGCCGCTGGACGTCAAAAGGATCATGGAGGCTTGGACGAATCAGTCCGGCTTTCCCGTGCTTTCTGTGACTCGTATCTACGACGAGAATTCCGCGACATTGATTCAGAGCAAGTTCTCTTTGGAGGCCGAGGAGCGAGAATCTAAGTAAAAGCACTTTCCTTGGTTTTGATTCAAAATGAAAACGCGCTGCATTGATGTGCAGTTCAAATTCTTTTGGTTGGTGATTTATATTTTGCAGGGTAGCGTAATAATTAGGGGTTTATTTTTATCACGAGGGAATAACATTATGATTTACCAAAACACCAAGTGCGTTTTTGATTTTGGTTTGGCGCTCGCGCCTAACGCAGCATTCTAGAAATAGCGTGGGGTACGTCCCTGCCCCTATTTTCCTGGGGCCGGGTTGCGTCGGCAAACTTGGCGGTGCCCTTCACACCTGCTTTGGAGCAAATTCGTCATGGTCGCTTACGTATTAGCCCTGATCATTGCCAGTGAATGGTGCTGCCGGCTTTCGCTTCGCTTTATCCTCGCTCAAATCACAAAAAATCAGCGGTGAGCTCTTCCTATCTAAAAGATCGTCTTCTGATTCCGGCCGTTCAAAATCCTAAAAAGACGTGGTAACCGCTAGCATGGCAACGTCTTCCTACTCCGAGACTGCGAGTGGATTTTGTTCGTGGCACGTTACCGGTAGCTTAAAAAAAAGTCTTCAAAGGCATTTAAGTCTCTCCAGCTAACACTTAAATAAAGCAGTTGCTCGTAGAGTATTCTCCCTCGGGTTCAACTTACTTTCGGCATAGTTGAATGCCTAAATGTATGCGACAAAAACTGAACGTGGCACACGAATGCCAAAATCAATTTTAGAAGGAGTGCCAAACTAATGCGCTACAGATGGGATTGTTTTTTGGCTGAAAACCACTTACAATATTTATAGTGATCTAAATATCCTTGTCTTTTAACCGGGTTGATTTGGTATTGCCTTAACTATGATTTGTAAACAAAAAGTACTTGCTAAATGCATTTGTTTTTCGTTTTTTTCTAAATTTTTCTTCTTTTTTGTTATTATTACGTTTCTTAGCCGCAATGGCGCTGCACGCGTAAAACTTAAAGGGATGGTGAAACAAAATTCGGATTTCAGAGAACAATGCAGGATATGTAGGCGGGAAGCTACAACCCCTACAATATAACTTGTAAGGCGATATCTCGAATAAACGACAGTATGTTTCAGAAAAAGAGGTCGAGATTGAACGAGGCCGACGAGGCGCGTGACGTCAAGATATCTCGTTTCCTCCTCTCTTCGCTTCACCTCCTCAAGGCGGTGAGGCGGAGATGGCACGAGGCCGTTCCCTCTCCTTCTAGGAGAAATAAGACGTAAACATATCAATCAAGTGGGCCTCCATTTCTTGAAAAATACGGTTATTCGTTCGAGATATCGCTCTATGAGTGATGTTTTGCTATTTGCAGCATCCCGTTGGACGCTTTTGCCGCCGTGTTTTCTGGAATCCAGATTTTGGTTCAGCATCCCTTTAAGCGCCCCGTGCTGCATTCCGGAAACCCTATTCCATAAGGCGGTTGCAGCCACCTTCTCGCGTTTTGGTCTCCCAATTTCTTAGGGGCACCGAAACATTGGGGCCCCCTATCGTAAAACTCTCTCTTGATTCCTGCCGTGTGCGCTACTAATGTCCAAGATACAATCATTAGCAGAAAAGCTGAAAAGGTGATCGTAATTCTAACCGCCATTTTGTTTTTACACCTATTTATACGAGTGATATTCAACTCGCGACAATCGATGGTTCGGTTAGATACAACACAGTGGAAACATTAATGGCCTGGCTACACTAGGCTATAGACATCTCTAAGTACGGTTTCTTGATGCCGCCATCTCGCTGCTACTGGTGTGGGTAGATTGTCGGACAGTCAAGCATTGCTGCGATCCTGGGAACGCATCAGAAGTGCTTAACTACCAGACGATCTTGGTGCTGCCATCTTGCTGCTGGTTTGGGTAGATCGTCCTATAGTCAAGCATAACTGTGATAGTGGGTACGCCTCAGCAACGCTTGACCACCAGACGACCTTGGTGCCGCATCTTGCTGCTGGTGTGGGTAGATCGTCATATAGTCAAGCGTAGCTGTGATAGCGGGTACGCCTCAGCAACGCTTGACCATCAGACGACCTTGGTGCCGCATCTTGCTGCTGGTTTGGGTAGAAAGCCGGATAGTCAAGTATTGCTGCGATTGTGGGCACGCCTCAGCAATGCTTGTCTATTAGACGATCTACCCACACCAGCAGCGAGATGGCCCCAGCAAGATCGTCTGATAGTCAAGCATCGCTGTGATCTGGGGTACGCCTCAGCAAGCTTGACTATCAGACGATCTTTTCACACCAGCCGCAAGATGGCGGCGCCGAGAGGCCCTACTTGCATACGTCTAAAGCCACTGGGGGCTTAAGGAAATTCAGGGCCGGGCGATTTCCGTGCATCTCATTATCGCTGCGCAACCAATGGGATTGCAACATTAGCTGATGGGAAAGCTGACGAACCAATCACCGAAGCGAGAATCTACAGTATAATAAGCCACGCCCCGCGCCTTTTAAAGGGGCGACTAAACCATTTTTGTGCTTCACACAACTACCGCTTCGAACGAGTCCCGGATATTAACGAGTTATGAAACACGCGTTCGTTTTTCATCACTTGCAAAAGAAGTCGAAGAAAAGAATTAACGAAGCTCGAGCAGCGTTCACCCCCTCAACTCGCAGCCAGAACAAGCGGCCACATGACGCCCATATTGATCATAGGCACGCGCTGGGTTTGGAAAGGCGCAGGACACGCACTGAGTTCTAGATATCGTTATGGTTCGGCTATTGTCGTCATTGCAGCGATCTGACATGGGCTGCTACCCGAATGCTTCTCGAGCTATCGATCATGAGGAGCCCAACTCGAGTGTCCACGCAATGTTCGGGTCTAATCTATGAGCCGCATGCAAATATCGTCACTGGAGGATACTGCGATCCCCAAGCTACGTCATCAATTTTTGCGAATGAGAGATTAAAAGAAAGCGCTAGCTTTTGTCCTTGAACTGACACTGCAACAAAGAAGTTTCTTGGTCAGTGTCCGTGCGGCGAGTGTACTGGGGTCCCTCTAGTGTCCTAAGCTCGTGTTAGGTGTAAAATATTCCGAGCAAATATCGTTGATGTCAGTGACCATACACTCTCAACCCTCTGGAGGAGATCATTTAAGAAAACCAACCAATGTAATGTATTTATTTATTTATTTATTTATTTAAAAAACGACCAGCAGCGCTGAATTGTCATAGGAGGTGCATCGTAGTTTTAATGAAGAAAAAGACTTGCTCTTGAAACAAGGAAATTTAAGATAGTAGTAAAACCTGTGAACTAAGCGAAAATAAAGTTAATAAAACAGGAAAGTGAACGGAGTAGTATCTGCGAATAGCAAGTCTTGAAATATCTTTAGCCAGAAAAATACACTCTGCACTTAGATTGACTGGGACAATGATCATGACTTCAGCACAAGAATCGTCATGCTCAGTGTCACGGCGTAGTTTTTTTTTTGTTTTTCTAGACATATTTTAGACTCGCCATAGGCCAATCTCGTCCGTAATTGCAGCGAGTGGCTCACCCAAGTGCGGGGAAGTAGACACTCCAGATGGTCTCGAAGGTATGCTAATAAGTAAGACTAAAGCCCACACATGCCACTCTAACCATTCCATTCTGATCACCGTGAACCTGCCGACATTCACTTAATAATGATAATAATAATAATAATGTCTTTATTTTTTCATCATATGATGAAGGGTAGGCCGGGGAAAAAAGCTGTGAAAACAGCTTGACGGGTCCCCGACCTCCTACAGTGGCAGAAACATAACAGCTCAAACAAACAAACAAAAGCAAAGACAAAAAAATAGCTGTTACAAAAACAGCACCGGCATGACAGATTGTCACAAAAACCGTTACACTGTGCGGTTATTGTACATAGTAATTTCGAAGCTCATTCATAGAGAGCGAGTCCAGTTGAAAGTCACGACTAATAAAGCTGTTAAGTAAATGTGGTAAAGTATATTTTAACATTTGCAGGCCATAGTTAGTTCTATGATGTACCATCCTCCAATATTCAGCGTGCTGTGTAGGATAGGTTACAACATTTCTAGTTAACCTCGCGAGAGTCGTCAGGAATTCTGAGTTTCGTTTTTGATCTCTTTTAAAACCAGCGGTCAACCTGTAACTGTACAAGTTATGTATGGTTATGACAGCGTATTTTTTTATTAAACCAGCAGTATGAAAGTCATGTCGGGCGTTGCAGATAATTCTAACCATTTTCTTTAGAAGCAGGAATATCTTTTCTAAGTTTCCAGCTGTGGTCGTGCCCCAGATAAGGTGGCAATAGCTGAGATAAGAGAAAAAAAGAGAGTTGTAAATAATCAGTTTGGCGGAAGTTAGTAAGATAGAGCGGTTGCGGTTTGCTAATCCAACAATGCTAGATAATTGGATCTTCCGCAACGATAGTTTAGTCCTGAATAATTTTCTCATTTCTGCCGTCCCTTCTATTCAGGAACTTGTGGCCAATTCCTATTACGTTCGTGACGTCTGAGGACCGAAGTTTCAACAAAACGCGACCGGTGATCTGGTTGAACGAGAAAGAGGGTGAGGAACAAGCGTGTCCCTGCGCCATGGCATGCGAAATGTTGACGACTGACGCGAATGCAGACCTTCTCGCCCAACTGTTCCAGGGCAACTGGAGAACCTAGCGAGTCCGCACAACTGGGTCCTGTTCAATAATCTCTTCTCGGGATACTACAAAATCAACTACGACGAAAGGAACTGGGAGCTTCTGATCCGACAACTGCTCTGGAATCACACAGCAAGTAACGCGTATTCCCCGCGAAGTCCCGGTACATCGTCAGCAAGCCCTAAAAGTCGGTTCTTCAGTTATCCTTTTACTTATCCTCGACATAATATCCGAACAAAGAATGACACCAAATAGACCAGTTAGTTCTTACTACGCTGAAAGCAACACTAGAAGCAACTTTAAAAGTAACCAAGCGCACGATCCGCCTCTTGTGTAGGTTCGCTATACCTACTTTGTTTCACCACAAAACAAGCAAAGTCCAAGCTACGAGAGCACTGATGCTGACGTCTGGCATGGCACGCGCACTGCGTGGTTCTCGTTGTTTAATCTTCAGCTGTGCTCACACATAATGTCACAGAAATATATGGAGAGTATTCTGCTAGGGTTCAGCCGCCATATACTGATGTAGCCGTAGAAGGTATTACCTGGCGGCCATAACTGAACCATTTGCTGCTGATCACGTGCTGAAGGCGAACATTCACAGTCTGTGCAACGGGCACTTTATGCGACCAAGTTTGCACTTCTTGGCATACAATAAGCAGAAACCAGCTTTGATCATGCGCTCAGAATATTGCCCTCAAATATTGCATCCAATGGATACCTCTTAGAGACAGAGAATCCTCGTCATGGATGACTTTGAACGTGTTTGTTGTTGCGTGGCGATGTTCCTCGTTAGATAGTCATAGGACTTGCTGAATCTAAGCGAGGGTTTCATTAATTTTAGTGTGATGTATCTCATCCGCGTAGGTAAGTTCTCTCCTGAAATTTTCAGACTCGTAAAACATCTGATATGTAGAGTTCGGCCTGTTCGTCCAATATAATGTCATTGCGTAGGGGTACTGCTCTTTAGGTGTTAGCAGTATTGTGTTTTTTTACTTCAGTTCTTTGCTACTTTTAACGTGAACCACAGGTATCGTAGGACCTTGCTGAAATCAATATCATAGCGAAAGAGGAAAGCAATATCCGCAGCTATTTTCGCTTCAAGAGGCGTGTACAATGTCATAGGTTCACGAGCGCGAGAGAGCTAACCGTCGTAAAAATTTCAACTAGTATCCCCGTGTTTCGGTCTTCCTTTATGGCTGCTGTATTCATCAGCGACAGGCCAATCTATTCTACAATAAATTCAGTTGAACTGATCCTCCAAGGAAAACAATGGGAACGTAGAGAAAACATTTAGCTGGGAACATGACGGGCCAAGATGTTTGTGTGCATTTTAGCATACCCACATATATTATTTTCGTAATAAATATAATTCAAAAGCGAAATTGTCTGCACTAAGCTCCCTTATAAGGCAATAAAATTCGCAGATGGGGATGTTGTTGCTTTGTATAAAAGAAAAGCTAAAGCCGTTTACCACTCCCTGTAACGCCGAATTAGAGCGCAGCTCTTAAGGAGGAGGAGGGAAGGGTACTGGGGGGTTGGGTCAAGTGTGACCTAAGGGGGGGGGTCACGTGAGGATGCCGATGATGTCATCAGTGACTTCACTGATGACGTCATAAGTGATTATGACGATGCTGATACCGATGACGTCATCAGGGACGTCACTAATGACATCATCAGCGATGATGACGATGCGAGTGTCGGTGACGTCATCAGTGATGATGACGATGACGATGCGGATGCCGGCGACGTCGTCAGTGACGATGACCTCGGCGGGGGGTCACGTGACCTCAGGGGAGTCACGTGACTTCGGGGGGTATCGTGACCTCGGGGAAGGAGGGGTCACGCGCCCCCCCCCCCCTCGGTCATGTGACCCCGGGGGGCGGGGGGGCTCGCGGTGTGCATTATTGGACATTTCCCATAATGCACAGCGCGGTTACGCCGACGCCGACGCCGACACCGACGCCGACGCCGCTCAAGCCGGGAACGGGCGCCTAAGAGCTGCGCTCTAAAAGAACATGCTTTTATTTATAACTTTTAAGGTACCTGAGTTCCCAGGAATATTGCGTCGAAATATTAAGAGTAAGAGCCCTATATTGCCTTGCACAAAACGCAATGCATACGTTATACTTGTCCTATCAATTGCACTTTGAAAAGTAGGCATATTAGATATCTAAGGCTATACAAAATTGCTTCGGTATTAGGGGAAGTGTTTAAGGCGACTGTTTGTCATCTCTGTCTAGGTTGCTATGATATTTTATTTTGATCCATAAGACCAGGGTTGGGCAGTATCGGAATACAAATGTATCGCGATGGGTATTTCGGAAATACATTTTGTATCTGTATTTCTGTATAGCGGTACATTTTTTCACCAATATCTCTATTCCTGTATCGAAATATATTTTTAACGTTTCTTTGTATCGCGATACAATCAGAATGAAATGTATTTCGTTACATTTCTGAAAATATACTCCCCCCCCCCCCCCCCCCCCCCGAAAAGAACAAGAACAAGTCCGAACTTTTTTTTTAATTTTTGACGACACTAGGGTCAAGGAGATGCTGGGGCATTGTTACTATGCTCACCAAGCCTCCTTCCGATTCTCCAAACTATTATTCTATGCGTCCTCTTCTCTCTTTTTAGAAGTGTTGCGTAGTCGGGGACTTAAATCAGGTGGCGTGCTAGGAGTGGAGTCAGAGCATCTTCTGCCGCAGGTCCTTAGGTAGAGATTTTTTGAGTCATTGTTCGCTGGCATCCAGTGCCCGCTGCTAACCGTTTATCTTGCCTTAGCGGGCATAGTACACTCAGCCGGCAAAGCTGAGTCACAGTCTGTTGCATCACAAACCTGGCGGTGGTTGACTTCAAATAGTAGGATGACTCACGCTGTGAAGTTGAACACTTATTCCAACGCGTCTGCTCCTGCGCCCGTAATATTGCATGGCTCATGGGTACGTCATCAGTTGACTTGAACATCACCCGCTGCTCTGGTGATCCGACACACAGGAAGGAGGCCAGACGTGGCCTCGCTGTGGCGACCTAGACTTCGTACACATGCGACTTGTCTCGAACGCGCTGTTTCTCGGAGAGCTCGCACTTGTGCCGGCAATACCAGGTCGCAATGAACGAGGTCTCTGTTCGGATGATGCGAAACTTGAGGGCTACAATCCATGCGTCAGTGGCGGAGGGTCAACGGAGGAACCTTCACAGAAAGGAATGCCACCGTATCGTTCTTTTTTTTTGAACTATAACAGAAGATAACACATGTGTTCCAGGATGCTTCAGATGGTCCACTTTTCTCTAAAATTCCAAATGACACTGCCTGCACGATCTTCAACGTCGTAGCCTACAACGAAAGCACGTATTGTCCTTTCAAACAGCAGAGTGGTAAAGTTTAAAGTTCAAGGCCACAGCTACAGATTAAGAATACCAGTTCATTCCACCGTGACGTCATGTGATCAATGTTGACAGGGGCGTCCTTATCGGACAGGGGTGTGGTTACGTATTCATAGGATTTAAGGCGACGTATAATTTATCTAAAGGTCGAAGTCTCTTCGTATCCTTCCTCAGACAGACAAGATGTCAGGGAAGGGACCGCGGTCAGTCCTTGATGGAACGTTTTTTGAGCCCCTTGAAGACTCCTCGTCGTTTGAAACCACAACCTTCAAGGCAAAGTGCGAAGCCTACGTGAAAGGAAGTTCGGGATCAAAAACTGCCACTTCAAACTTCAAACTTCATCTCAGTTTTCGTCTCGAACGAATTTGAAAAACGTATTGCCGTGTCATTATTCCTGTGTTTGTATTCCTGCCCTCCCTGGAATGTATTCCTGTATCTGTATTTCCAAATATTTTTGCGTATATTTAAAATGTATTTCCAACACGTATTGCGATACATTTTTACAGATGTATCAGTATTTTAGCTACTATCTTGATGTATTCTAGTATTTGTATTTCGAAATACATTTCTGAGTATTTCTGCCCAAATCGGCTTAAGACGTGTGCCTCCGAAGGCTACGGGACCGCTATGGGTTCGAACTGGTCTGGCTTGAGTCAGCGAGCGAGAAGCGGGAGAGCCCAGCAGCAATCAGAAACGGCATCCGAGCAGTGGAGACGAAAAGGTGGAGAGCGGGAGCGGCGGAGAAGCCGTCCCTCATGATATACTACGTGGAGAAGGAGGCCAAAAGGGAAGAGCCCTGGTACGACAACTCGGCAGGCAGTAGACTCCTCGCAGAGGCCCGCATGGGTACATTACGGGCCCGGGTGTGGAGAGCCAGGTTCACGGAGGGACAGGAGAGGACGTGCATCCCCTGCGAGCGGAACGACGAGACGACGGAATACATGGTGCTGCAGTGCCGGTACATTGTACCGGTCATTAGTACAACGGCGCTACCTGTAGCACTGGGTTTCCGAATCGGTGCGGAGCAGGTAGAGGAAGAACAAAAGAACGTTCCATCGGCGGTAGATGTAACGAAAAGATGGCTGGAAGTCTGGTGGAGAGAGACACATCGGCGGAGGGGGTGCAACCGATCAGCGGAACACCAAGCGAAAGCGGGAGGCGCGACTGCCTAGGCTAGATCCAGCATCCATTACTGTTGATCCCCCAATATGACGGGGAGAGTCGCAGGCTCCAATCCAATCCAATTCAATGGTGACAGGGGCGTCCTTATTGGAGAGCTACGTGGTGACGTATTCATAGGGTTTAGGGTGACGTATCATTTATTTAAAAGTCGAAGTCTTTTCGCATCCCTCCTCAGACAGACAAGATGTCAGGGAAGGGACTGCGGTCAGTCCTCGGTGGAACATTTTTTTGTGCCCCTTGAAGGCTCCTCATCGTCCGAGACCCCTACCTTCAAGGCAAAGTGCGAAGCCTACGGGAAAGGAAGTGTGTGATAAAAAACTTCCACTTCAAACTTCAAACTTCATCCCAGTTTTGGTTTCAAACAAATTTGAAAAATGTATTACAGTATCACTATTCCTGTATTTGTATTTCTGCCCTCCCTGGAACGTATTCCTGTACCTGTATTTCCAAATACTTTTTTGCCTCTATATAAAGTGTATTTCCGACACGTATCGCGATACATTTTAACAGATATATTTTAGTAGGAGTATTTTAGCTACCACCTCGCGTATTTGTATTTTAAAATACATTTTTGAGTATTTCTGCCCAACCCTGCAAAAGACATATTTTTTGACTAACGTTCTTTTGTTAAACATAATAACACAGTTTAGACTGAAGAGCGTGTTAATTTAGTTGAGGACTCACACCGAAAAAATAAGACAAATGTTGGACGAAGGAAGGCGTAGACTTTTACGTCCACCCTTTTCAAACTTTTGTCTTATTATTCCGGTGTTCGCTATAATAGCACTTATTCTCAGATCGACCAAGAAAAGAATACCTGTTTGACCGCCGAGTGTGATTAGTGGCGCGGTGCAACGATTTGTGTGCTTTGCGCAAATATTGCTTAGAATAACTTCCCTACGTTTAACCTATGCTCAGGTATTTTTACCCCACGCAATGGTAGTCACAAAAATGTCAAAGAAAGAAGCGTTCACAACCTCAACTCGCGGAGACCAAGCGGCCATGTGATCTTAGGTGTATTATGTGCCGAAAGAAGCGTTCACAATCTCAACTCGCAGTGACCAAGCGGCCATCTGATTTAGGGTGGATTATGTGCCGCTAATGTTTATCAAGCTATGTGATGGGCTTGGCAAAACACAGGGCACGGTAGAAGTTCCAGACAGTGTTAGGCTTGGGCTGTTTTTATACTTACAGTGATTCAACACGAATGTCTGTCGAGGTATTGAATATCACGAGCCTAAATTGTGCGCTCACTAAATTATCGGGTTCAATTTTCGAATTATATTCAAAGATATTTACTAGTGGGACTGTACCAACACTGCGACACCTGAGCTTGTCATCAAGTTCTGCGAGAGAGAGGTCGACAAAACACGCTCGCTTTTGTTCTTAGAATCATGCCCCGTCAAAAAAGTTTCTTGATCGGTGGCCTTGCGTGCTTGGGTCCTACTAGCACCAGTGAGCTCTTGTAAAGTGAAATAAATTCCACATAAATATTGTTGTATAGACTTTTTAATGTAAATTATTTTCATTTTCAGTTTATTGATCCGCTGAACCGAGCTCAAATACAAAACGATCTTTTCGACCTCGCCAAGTAAGTATCCTTAAACATCGTTGATAAACTAAAAGCATTGCAAAAAACAAGATTTTTTTAACTTTTGGAAATTCCATTAAAATCTTACTTGTGATAAATAATTATCATTAACAGCAGAAAGCAATTTTCATAAACGATTTTAATATGCGCCTTTATACGCGTTACAATATATATTTTCTAATATATCTTATAAATTTTCCAAAACATATTCCTGGAGCAAGTAAGCGGCGAATAGCCCCGAACTTAACCCCGCAGCACGTTTGTTTTGCGCGGCGCCAACTGCCACTCTGCTGACGCAGCCGCCAGTGTACATAGGAAAGCCAAATTTGTTGCTCTTTTGCAAAATATTTGTTTTATGGAGTCTAGCCTTTAGTTTTTTAAGGTAATCCCTTCTCATGTCTTCTTCTTCGATAAACCTGATTTTTTTCATATACAAAAAAAAATTAATATTTTATTTTACTCTAGCACTGGTTATTCAATATTGTTACGCGAGAAGAGAAAAATCATTTAAAGCTAGCGTTGTTTGATTCAAATATCATTTAGTTACAGATAAGTTTTATCCCCAGCTGCCTTATTGAAGGTAACACTTCAGCCCTGATGTGTTATGGGACCCTCTCAGCGCTACAAACCCCTTCAGCCCACCAAACCCTTCAGCCGTACAAACCCCTTCAGCCAGTCAAACCCTTCAACACAATCTCCTCAACCCATCAACCATTTAGATGCCCAAATCACTGTGAACCATAAACAAACGAAGCAGCTTAAAACGTTCTGGGAAGTTTATTTCAGATGTTCAGTTTTACATGCATGTTGTAACGCAAAAAGACAATAAGAACCAACGTCTACTGACTCAAGCAGCTGTAGACGAAAGCAATCAGACCAAATAGGGGCAACCGAGTTCTTTGTCGCAAAAAATATATTTCAAGGCACTCACAATATCGCTCGGTAAATTACTCAGATGCAAGGTCGTTTAACTTATAAAACCGAACAGGTGACAGCCTGAACACATACACACTGTCAGCTGCACCTTTAACGAAAATCACAAACTCGCAACCAACATCCGCCGCCCTTCAGAAATCGTGAGGAGTCACAGTGTCGTCACTGATGCCGTCGCGGAGGCCTTTTGGCGTCTTTTCGCTCGCTGGATGCTTCTGAATCCGGACGGCTGAAAGGGCACAAGAAAGAGGGCTCTGAAAGGTAGCTTTCTTGATGCGCATACAGAGCCGCTGTAGAAGATAGGTCACACGCATGGAACAGGTAGCCGACACTGACAGCCGACTTCATTAACGGGCCTCGAATCAAACTCCACTCAAGGCCGGTTTTGCGTTTCGTAAACCGACCTCAATTCTCGTCTCGTCGACTCGATAACATTCTCAACTATTTCTTCAGGAATTTCAAGGTACCTCTGGCGCTGCCTTGATAACCTCCTTGGCTTGTGTTTGGAGTGTCATGGCGGCCGACGAGTCGTTCGCGGAGTTCGTGCACTTCATTCTAAGCCCAGAAGAGATCCTCTACGACGACGCAGACGACAATCAATCGGCAGATGTGCCAATACATTGTTTCAGGGATCGCCTGAACCCTTTGGAACACATCAGTGACCGTGACTTTCTTGCGCGATGCCGTTTCACGAAAGCTACCGCAGTGAACGTTCTGCTGCCTCTGCCGCTGTAGGAGAGAGCTAGTATTTAGTGCCTGCCGCACTGACCCATGCTGTAGCTCTTAGTCATTTTGAGCTTTTATAATGCCGGGACGTCCCAAGTTGTCACGGGCAACCGTGTGAGCGTGCCACAGCCCACAAGGTGCCTGGCTGCGGAGCAAGTTCTTCGGCGTTTCACCTGGACTCTCTTCACCCGGTATGTGATCTTCCCGGACGGTGCGGCGAACTTTGACGTGTTCATGCGGGACTGCTGCGCAAGGAAGTTTCCAGGCGTGACAGGGTGCATTGATAAAAGGACCTGAAGGTCCAGATGTGGAAGTGTTCTCGAAACGTAAATGGATACTTCTCCGCCAACGAGCAAGTAAATTTACTCATGATTGTGTTGTTAGTGGTGCCACACCTATTAAATCAAACTCTACCCTAAAATGCTGTATCGTGGGATAAAAACTCTGACGTAAAAATATTGATCAAAACTTTAGAACATATTAGTATTTAGGGGCAGTTTTTTGCAAGGCCAAGCGTGCGGTACTCGCGTTCATTTTAAACAAGAGAAGATGTCACTCAACGGTTGCCGGCTCTTGTGAGAGCAGAGAAATGCCGTTCGGGTAGACTGCCGATCGGGTGGACGAACAAAATTATAATAGCGGCCTCGGCCTCCCTGAGAAAATTTAAGCGGGTGTACCCACGCTACCGAAAAGAACACCTAACAACACGCACGCTGCTGCGTTCCTCGGTTGCAATTGTTTATTCCACGCCCGGCAGACATATTGAAACAGTTTGCTCAAATTTTTTCAATGGTCCTGCTAACGTACAGTTTGCGGATCAAAACAAGACGAGGCACTCTCTCATCATCGCAACGTAGTAGAATTGTTCTGACTCCATAAAGCTTACCCACACCATGGCACAGTAAAGTGAATGATTCGCTGCAGCGAAACCAAATAGCATTGTTATTTCCCATACAGCACTAACTTCTCTCAATGCAAAATATTTATATTACTAAAAAAGCTAAAAGTTAAGAAAAATAAATGCATAGAACCTGCGATTCCACAACTCACAGTACCAGTATGTAAGTATCAAGGTTGGAACACTTTGTTTTATTGAATTTTCTCGGTGATTAACCGATATATCTCTTTTAAAAGAAACAAATACTTAACATAAATAGTAAAATTCACTCGGAAATTTATGCCTCCCAACGTCTGCCTCAAGCAAATGACGTATCTACACAAGCGATTATTTAAATTTAGGCTCTACGCTGATAACACAATTCGATCTTCACTAGAGCACCGAACAGTACAGCACCATTGTCCGTTAAATTTATTTTCCCACCGGTACTATGCGACAAAATAAACGCAAGAGTCTACACCGTCTATTATGCGAGCTTCGAGAACCTATAAGGCGGCCATGCCCGCTTTGATGACGATGAAAGCGCGACGGTACCGCCACCTCTAGTTTGATCTCGAGGCCAGTACACTCGAATTCTGATAGCATCACACTACTACTGTCTGCATGCATGACTGAGTTGCTCAGCACCACTCCAAGGCTTGGCTGGGACTATACTGTTCAATTTATATATCAGCACGTGGTCAGCTGCAAACTTGGGCTCAATTTCTGCGTCGGCATTGTTGTAGTGGGCCATAAAAATGCAGTGAGCCAACCTCGTCTAGCCGAGGTGGTGTCGACTTTACTCCGAATGGCGGTGCAAGGCCATAGATGGTTGCAAGGCACACATCTTTGGACAGGGAATTCGACGTGTCTGAACTCAATGGCGCCAAAACGCGCTCATCCCAGCATTTATTGAACGAGACAGCACGCTGACAACACAATATTGAAATATAACTTACATAAAAAAGAGTGGTAATGTCGCGGTTACGGGTTTTTAGGGGCCCTTTTTTCGCGGTTAGAGATGCCGCCTGCGCGGCTCCATGGAACAGTTAATGCTTTCGTACAAAAAAATGGATGAAAATAATCCCACAAATCAGCCTATTCTTGTGTCAGGGCTTTTAGAACGAGGAGCTGTTGCAGCTTGATTTGTTCGTCGAGCTGGAGCATCTCAAGTTCAAACCAGCTCGTTTCGCTGCTGCTGATGAGTAACCTGGCACTGCCCCTGCTGATTGGCCACCTGACACTGAAGTAGCTGCACCTGCAGGTGCAACTCCCTTGTGCGCTGTTCCTTTTCCTTGAGACAAGAGCAAGTATCTGCCCGAAAACAGTGGTACGACCTCCAGTCCTCCCCACCCGGAGAGCCGTACAGAGGCGACTGAGGAGGTAGAGCGGTGAAGATAGAAGGGCCAGAGTGGAGTCACAGCAACCGCAACCTCCATACTGTTGCGTAAGTCCAGAGGCAGTAAGGAAGGCGGGCCAGGAGGATCTGGGCAAGCACAATACATTGATGCCGTGTGGCCCCACTACAGAAGTGTTAAATGCCAACTGTTGGTGAATTAGAAAGTCTGTTGATGAGCCCTGTTCTGCTACACTCGCAGTGCTGTGGTTTGTTTATAGTTTTATTATTTCAGCATTTGTCTTCGTCTGCTTGACCATGAATGTGTTTTGCCCAATTAAAAAACAATGAACCTCACCACGATGTATCACATGAAGTAAATCGATCTGGAGTACAAGGTTTAAATGCAGTCTGTACTCTGTTTTTTGTAAATAAAAATTTGCCTTCACCCATAGCTGCATTTACATGAATGCGACAGAAGCGCGTGACCTGAAGTTGTCGTATTCAAAGAAGTCATGTAAACGGCTTTATGTGCTACTGGAGCACATCGCATTAAATTGCCACCATGCGAAGGTGGATTGAGACGGCAAATGCGCATTTATAGTGGCCACAGCCCATGTAGACGGAAGTCGCGTTTTAAAATGGGAAGGATTATAGGAAGGGGCTCGCCATGAGATCAGGTGAACAGCTGAGAACACGGCGGGGGACAATCTCGTTCGGGGCAAAAGAAAACGGGCATGGTCCCAATTGCTCGCCCGTGAGATGTAACACAAACTATTCTTGCCATCGTAAGCAAGCTGAATATAGCAGAGCTGCTTGGTGAGGGCGACTCCTGCCCCAGCCTTGCGAATCACAACTTGCACGTCAGAAGGTGTTCGTAGAAAAAGCGACGCGACAAGGCACGGCGTCGAGAGTTTTGAGCACTGGTACCGCAGACCGAGCAGCTCCTATATAGGAGATGTTCCTGCTTACGTGGAGCCTCTCAGCCTCGCGGTCTGGCCCTGGTCGGTGCGGTGGCGTTGTCCTGCGACCGGTTGGAAGCTATCTTATTCGTCAGGACGTGCGAAATCACGTCGCCTCACTTCCAGAGTGACCCGGGCCGAAGCCCAAAGCGCGTCTTTTTATGTT